TTCAAAGAATACCTAGATATGTGTTATTAATTAAAGATATGTTAAAAAATTCACCACCATTATCCCCTGATACTGATAAATTAGTTGAATGTTATCAATTGATATTGGATGTTGCTGCATGGATAAATGAAAAAAAATTATATGAAGAAGAAAGAGAAAAGTATAATACTGTTCTAAAAATAATTACTGGGTTATATGATATGAATAAATCTTGTAGAAGATTTATTGTTAGTGGTTATTGTAAATATCTTGATATGGAATCACCAAATGGAGTAAATAGTGCATATTTCTTTTTATTTAATGATGTTCTTATAGAAACTCAAGTTATAAAACATCATAATCATAAAATTAAAAGAAAACAATTATTAAATGTTTATAAATTAATTAATGACTATGGAACTGTTGATGATTTTAAAGATGATATGTTCCAAGTTCAATGTGTATTTATGGTTACAGAAGATGCTATTGTTTCTTATGGTGCAAATCCTTCATTTGGACCTTCTATTTCTTTTACTTCTCCTTTGTCTGATATGCAAGTTACTCTTGTCTTTGATAATCCTTTAGATGCTAATGCTTGGTTTGTTGCTTTAGCTTATACTATTAAATTATCTCCTCGTTTAAATGAATCTAAGAACATATTTAATATCAGAAATGAATAAAACATTTCATTATTGTTTCATCCCAATTATTAATTGTATTGTTCTGTTATTTCTTTATGACTTTGTTGTTTGAATGTTTTTTTTAAACCTCCTTCATTTTCTATTATTTTTTTATACAATATCTTATTGTTATTTACCAATAAAATTAACACATAACATTGTTATTGAATATATATATATATATATATATATAATGTTATTTTATAATGTTAATGATTAAATATTTTATGTGTATTATATTTTAATGTTTATATCAATTGTGAATGTATTATTTGTCATCATCATATTAATGTTTCTTGAAATTCAAAAATATGTTAATTTACAATTAACTCAAATATTATCATCAAGTGTTATAACATGAAAATTATCTGGTTTAGTATCTCGATGTATTATTCAATTTGAATGAAGATATGAAATTCCTTTTGCTCCATCTATCATGAATTTAATTCTTATTTTATTTGGTATTTCTGTGTTTGTTCTTTTATTAATTAAATCTTGTATTGATCCATATTTTGCATATTCTGTTATCATACATATTTTATTAGGAATAAATACTGCTCCATAAAATTGAATGATATATTCACTTCTAAATTTATCTAACATCATTACTTCTTTCTCAAATTCTTTCATTTTATCTTCATCTTTATCAATTTGTTTCATTTTCTTAATTGCTACTTGATTCCCTCTAAATTCTCCTATATATACAATTCCAAATGTTCCTTCTCCTATTTTATTTTCTTCTTTTATTTCATCGGGATCAATTCGTGTTGATATTTGTGTTTCTCATTGGTCACGAAATTATGCATTTTATTCGTATTCATCATTATATTATTATAATGATTTGTGAAATTGTTCATTATTTCAGAAATGGTATCTAAATGTAATGAATGTCTTCATTGTTTGTTTAAAACATGGTGTTTATGTTTGATAGAATATTGAAATGAATTATCATGTTGCAAAATATTTCTTGTTAAATGTTTAAAAGTTAAAAAATAGTAGAAAATATTATTAGATGAAAATATTTGTGATTAAATATGAGAAGAATATATTTGTACATTATTAGTTATATAATTCTAATTCGATTTCTGTATTAAATGAATATATCTGTTGATGAAATTGAAATAAAATAAATATAAAATGATA